GGAGGGTTGCAAATTCAAGGCCAGCCTCAGCAAGTTAAAGAGATCCTAAGCAACTTGGCAAGACCCTGTCTCAAAATTAAAAATAAATAAATAAATAAAAATATGGCATAAGCTGCAGTAATCAAAATAGTATCCTACTGGGCAGTCAGTATGGAAAACATTTTGGTGGTTTCTCAAAAAATTGAAAAGAGAATTGCCATGTAGCCTTACAATTCTAGTCTTACATATATCAGCCCAAAGAACTGAAAATGTTTACTTACTTAAACAAGTACATGAACACACATGTTCATTTCAGCATTATTCACAATAGCTAGAAAGTGGAAGTAACCAAAATGTTAATGTTAAAGAATGAATGGATACACAAATGTATATTATTTAGATTTAAAAGGAATGAAGTAATACATGCTAGAAGTTGAAAGAATCTCAAAAACATTTTGATGTTGAAGTGATTCAAAAACATCACATATCATATGATTCTACATACATGAAATATTCAAATTAGATAAAACCATGGAGACAGATTGTAGATTGGTAATTGCTAGGGTTTAAGTGCAGTAGGAAATTAGACAAACTGCTCAATGGGTAAAGGGTTTAATTGTGGAGTGATGGAATTTTATGAACTAGATAGAAGTGGTTGTATAATACTGTGAATGTACTAAATACTACTGAATTGCCCACTTTGAAATGGTTATTTTTATGTTATTGTAAATTTCACCTCAATAAATAATTTAAAAATTATTCTCTCTGATATTCATACATAATAAGGGGAGGGAGAGAAGAATAGAAGTTCATTGGATTAGATAAAGGGGAATGAAGGGGAGGGAGTGGGGATGGGAATAAGAAAGACATAATTTGGACATAATTTTTTCTATGTTCATATATGAATACACTACAGTGTAACTCCACATCATATACAACCACAGAATGGGAAGTTATACTCCATGTATGTATAATATGTCAGAATACACTCTACTGTCGTGTATATCTAAAAAGAACAAATTAAGAAAAAAATTATATATATAAAAATATATAATATATGCTTACTATAGAAAAACTGGAAACCAGAAAAACATCAAGAAGAAAATAGATGTCACTTGTGTCTTACTCATTTAAAGACCTTTATATGTTTTAGTTTACTACTAGTTGCATTATTGTTGTTTCGTAAAAAGTATGTTTTGAGCTGCAGAAAAATGACTAATATAACCTTTGCAATTAATTCCTATACTGAGGACCACCTTGAAATGATTACCTACTATCAAATAAGTGGCAGATCTTCCTTGAGATGAATTAGCACCTACATAGAGATTCACGTCCAGATTAAGTGAGACGAAAGATTAAGCTGTAAATTCTTCCTTTTTGTGTCCTTTGTGTTAGAATATCTCCCCAAGGAGTCAGGGGTTTATTTATGAATGCAGAGACCCTGAACTCTGCTTTTAAGAGCACAGTTCAGAAAAAAAAATGAGAACTAAGCAGACTGTTTTTTGTCTTCTGATTCTCATATTTGTGGAAGATGTTAATTGAAATAATGATGACTTTCCACTGAAATAAATATTATAGTTTTACTTTAATTGACATTAAAATATTTAAAAATAAAAGAAAATATAAAATGCAAGTCAATTTGTAAGATTGATGAAAAATCTGTAGGATTATTGACTAAAATAAAGAGAGTTTGGGAGGGAAAGAACCATAACAAGATACAGATAAATTCCCTTAAAATATATCAGCCCCTTTTGACAAACTCCAGATGGGAGTTAGATTAGATAACCTTTGTCCCCTCTTACTCTGAGATTTTATAATTCTCTGATTTGGTGGTAGTTGTGTTGCTCATGCTTAAGCACTTTCTCAATGTCAACTCTATGTATGCATATCATATACATACTTATTTTCATACTTCATCAAGTAACAGTAATGGTTTACATCAATGAATTCTTGGTAATTTACAAAATGCTTTTATATATGCTATCTTATTCAATCTTAAAAATTGTACTGTGGGTGACTGGCACCATCCCTATTTTATAAATAAACAAACAGACACAGATAGCTTATTCTTCTTCCCACACCTTTTTCTTTATTTAGATAATCTATAAGGACCAACTGAGGAACTATGTTTTTCTGTGTCTTAGTGAGGAAAATACGGACTGATTAAGATACACATGAATTAGCATCAACTTTCACTGAATTCCTATTGTACTTAAAGTTACTTGTATATATTTTAGTACTAAGATACTATATTGTCCTGGGGATGTAGTTCAGTGACGGAGTGCTTGCCCAGTGTTCATGAGGCCCTGGAAAAATGCAAGCTGGTATTCCTAATTGCTATATTTTCTTTGCCAGTTTTTCCTGTGTATTACAATGCATCAAAATACAAAGAAAAGCATATATTTTATCATCAGTGGGTTTGAATCTCAATCGTGCTACCTATTGGCTGTGATTTTTGGACAAGTTACTTAAATTCTCGGAACCCCAGTACCCCCATTGGTAAAATGAGAATAACACTCTCTACCTCACAAACTAGTTTTGCTTATCAAATAAAGAAATGGATATAAGGTATCTTTCTGTGTCCTCAATTAAGCTGCAAGCTCCATGAGGGCAGTGACAATTTCTTAAAGCTCTATTGCTTTCCTCACAGAGTTGGATCCGTAGTATTTGATGCCTACTTTTCCATGGACTAGAATGACTTGGGATGCATTTTTTTTTTAATACTAAGCTTTTTTCATATAGGCTTATCATTTCCATATAGACTCATAATACAAGCCTATGTCCAGTGTCTTTTAATCTAATACATTCTACATTGCAAAAACCTTTGCTGGATCTGATTATAACCTCAAAATGCTAATAAGCAAGTGAATGATTTCTATAATAACAAATAATTTATTTGTTAAACAGGAACATGGAGTTTATTTGATTTTAATGCAAGCCATCAGAGAAACTATATATTTTCTAAAGTGATTATTAACAATAAGTCTAGGCACAATCTTCCAGGTGAATTTTGGTTGCTCTGACACCAGGAAAAGCAGTAACTATATTAATATCTATGCAGAGATAGTGTACTTTAAAGTTCTCGAAGATTGCACTTATTTTTGTTTTGGGGGTAAAGGGAGAAGCATAAGAAAAAAATAGGGTGTGCAGCAGTTGACAAAAAAGTCTATACTAACATAGCAAATGTGTTAAATGATCCCTAAATCAAGACACCTTCTTATATCCCATCCTTTATTATTTCCCTTTCTATTGTGTGCTTGATGGTTATAGTTCTAAATATTATATCTAAGTAGCTACTTTCTTCAAATGATCTTAAAATGCTTTACAAATGCTGTTTTTTAATCTTTTAAAATCCCTAGTGCTCTGATACATTTATGTTTTGTTTGTATACTTCCTTATATGTGGTTCACAGCTCTACTTTCAAATGTGAAGAATTTTTAAAAGAGATGTAAACATTGTCCTTATTTTTACTTATAGCTACATATAAAATAGCAACTGTTCAGTTTTAATTCATTTTCCAGATAAATTCCATGTATTTTAAGCTTGGGAAAAATCATCTAGGTAAATTACTGTAGTGGAAAATCACTGAACTTAGAGATAGATTGAAATTGGTTTTCCAGCTCCTAATTTTAGATACTAGCTGTGATTCTGTGCAAACCTTTTGAACTTCAGCCTCAGTTTTTAGTTCATCATGTGATGAAATGTTGTTAATTACTGTAGGACTCATATGAACTGCTATATTTTTGAAACACTCTGAGCCAGGCACAGTGGTACAAGACTATAATCCCCAAAACTTGGGAGGCTGAGGTGGAAGAATTGTGAGTTTAAGGTAAACAAAGCAACATAGGAAGATCCCATCTTGAAAGAAAACAAAATAAAAAAAACACATTTTGAAAATGCAAAGGATTGAGGTGGGATGGGAATGGGAAAGATGGTAGAATGAATCAAATATAACTTTCCTATGTTCATATGTGAACACACTATGAGTGTAACTTGACATCATGTACAAACACAAAAAATGGGAAGTTATACACTTTGTATATATGTCAAATATATAGTAGAATGTATTCTACTCATGTATAACTAAAAATAATAAATAATATTTTTTAAAAAGTACTATTAACCATAGTCACCATGTTGTACATCAGAAACCTTTAACATATCCCTCTCAGAGCTGAGAGTACCCTCTGACCAACATTTCCCTATTCATCTCCTCCTTCCCATATTTAGCCCCTGGCAACCACCATTCTATTCTTTTTTTCTATGAGATTCTGGTTCTCTATATTTCACATATAGTAAGATCTTTCACTGTTTAATTTTTTTCCTGGATAATTTCACGCCCCCAAAGTTCATCTATGATATCTCAAACAGTAGGATTTCTCTATTTTTTTAAAGTCTGAATATTATTCCCATGTATTTTTGTGTTCTTGGTTATTATAAATAATAAATGCTACAACGAACATTAAAAAAAGAAAATGCAAAGATTTATGTTAATTTTACCCCAATAAGGTTATTAATGAAAGTAAATGCTTATTATAACTCACAATAGAGAAATAATTAATGTGATTTTCCCCCTTTTTTCTTTTGAGGTGTAAAATGCCTTCTTAAAGCCTACAAAGTTGAAATCTTTTTATTATAATTAAAAGAGAATCACATAATATCAGTGTTGGAATAGACCTTGGAGATAATCTATTCTATTCTACACTACTGAATAGTGTGAAACTTTGAGTCCAAGAAAGAAAATACCCTTTCTTCAGGTTATATAATTATTCTGTAGTGAAATCAGAAGTATAAACTCTGGTTCCCTTTCTTCCAGTTCAGTGCCTTTCCTACTCTACTACAATGCCTTAACTCCATGGTTCTGTTGGGCTTTGTTATGAAATTACCATTCTGCCTTAACTTTTCCTTCACTGTCCTGAACAAGGATATTGATATGAAGTGTTTATTAGGCTTATCATTGAGGAGGAATCACTTTACTCAAAGAGAATGACCTAGAAGGCAAGTCTTTCATATACTTTTACCTTTCTGTCAGTATGTTGTCAACTACTGCATTGCTCCTGAGGCAAAAGGTAGGAGAATCAGGAAATGTGGCTCAAGGTGGGAGGGCATTACTCTTTCTTAGGGATATGCAGGCCTTGGTCTTGCTGGGAGAAACAAAGAGAAAATAAGTTACCAAACTGGCACAGTTACTAGCACATTCACTTTTTGTTTATTTTACTTCTGGTCTCCTCACATTACTATGGAAACTGTCTACAAAGTACTTTCATATTTATTATGTCAGGTTATTCTCAAAACTCATAGAACATAAGGATTATTCTCATATTATGTGTGAGGGAACTGAGGCTCAGAGAAAGTAAAATATTTGCCCAAATATATAGTCACTAAGTAAGAGACAAAACTTCAATTCCAACTAAGATTCTCTGACTTCATATTAAGGCCTCTTGTCAATGTTTTGCAATTGCCTATAGTTATGGTATGCTTAATGAACTCTGAAAAATATTATTAAATATGTGATTAGAAGTTAATAAGTGTGTTGCATGCAGTGGTGCATGCTTGTAATCCTAGTGGCTCAGGAGGCTGAAGCAGGAAGATCACAAGATCAAGCCAGCCTCAGCAACTTAGTGAGGCCCTAAGCAACCCTTTCTTTAGGTTATATGACTATTCTGATATCCTTTCTTAAAGTAAAAAATAAATAAATAAATGGGCTGGGGATGTGAATCAGTGGTTGAGCGCCCCTGGGTTCAAATCCTGGTACTACAAAATAAGTTAATAAATGTCATGAGAAGAAGTTCTAAATCTTAGGGTTGCAACTTGATAAAAACAGACTTATATCTTAACTTTTCTTGAAACTGATTGTGGACAGACAGATGCAAGTAGTGGTAATATGAGCTTAAGGAAATAATTCTATAAAATGGTCCCACTGTGCTGATTCCTACATGCTTTGTTTTGTAAGAAGCAATTTACCTGCAGTCCTGCCTAGCTTAAGTGGACAGGATATGTCCTATTTCTCAGCAAGCTACCTGTTATCTGTTGGAGAAATGCAGGCTTGAAATCATGTTGATAAAAGGAACTCAAATTATGCTGAAGGGGGAGAATTTTGTGACCCTTTTTATAGATAAGATCCTGAAACTCAGGGAGATATCAATTATTTCTAGTAACCAAAAATCTCCAAAAATTTATGAAGAAGAATCCAATTAGAACCAGTCAGTATGGGCCAAAATGACCTAGAGTTGTTATGACAGTGGGGACTTGAAAGTCTGAAGTCATCCTGCTATCAGTCAAATCAAGAAATCAGTATTGGTTTGTGGCTCAGTGGTATAGCACTTGCCTAATATGTATGAGGCACTGGGTTCAATCCTCAGCACCACATATAAATAAATAAATAAATAAATACATAAAATAAAATAATGTTATTTAAAAAAAAAGTCAAGAGATGGACCTGAGTGGGACCCTCTGGAAACACTTCTGGGATCCTCAATAAAACTGGAGTGCAGAAGAGGAACAGTGTCCCTTTCCTCTCTGAGAGGACCCACTCTCTTGAGAGTGTCCCCTTTTCCTTTCCCTCATCCCTTCAGATAAATTAATTGCCTGTTTCTCTGAGTGCTATGTCTGATATCCTTCTGACTTGATCATAAGAACTGGGGTTTGAAGTGAGGAGGGTCATCACACACCTCAGTTTCCCAGAAGGCCCCATCCCAGTAACAAAACTACCTAAACACTTCTAAATTTAAAACAAAACAAAAGAGGCTTCAATTCCTTAGACTAACCAATTGTCAAAAGTACGTAATATTAGTCAAGTGTCAGTAAGGATAAATTTTGCATTGCTGCTTTTAGCTAAATAAACATCTTAAAATTAAAGACTCATTTCTACACTTACAAATTATATACCTTCTCTGGAAAATCTGGTTTCCATTCATGTAATGTATAGAAAAATGAAGAAGAGAAAAGGAAAATGTTAGAAACATATATATATATATATATATATATGCAAGTATGTATTTATGTATGTAAGCATGTAGTATTTTGAGACCTTTGCTGGCCTCCAACTTGTGATCATCCTGCCTCAGCTTCCCAAGTAGTTGGCATTATAGGCATGTACCACCATACATGGCCCTTTTATTTATTGATTTTTGCAATGCTAGAGATTGAACCCAGGGTCTTGTACATGGCTAGGCAAATGCTGAACCACACCTCCAGCTAGACAGATTTTTTTTTCATTTGAGGAGGGTTTTTTTTTCTAGTACTTTTTTTTCAAGTTGTAGATACTGGGGTTGCTGATGCATTTTCTGAACATACCACAAGGAAAAACTTTCTCTGAAAAATTAAAAAGAAGTAAAAGCACAAATCTTCATAAAAATAATAAGATATATAGTCATAATTTTCTCTTGAATATTATTTTCAATAAGTATTAGAATCCAGAGAGACATGGATCTAAAGTAAAATGAACTTAACAGCTATATGGTCTTATGCAATTCAAATAACAAGTTCAAGATTTTTTATTTTTCACATTTAATGGATATTATTTATTGGTTCTTTTTAGTTATACATGCAGTAGAATCCACTTTGATATAATTATACAAGCATGAAATGTATCTTATTCTAGTTAGGATCCCATTCTTGTGGACATACATGATTATGGGATTCACCATGATGTATTCATTCATTATTATATATATGGAGGAAAAGTATGTCAGATTCATTCCACTGTCTTTCCTTTTCCTATTCCCTCTCCCTTCCCTCCATTTTCCATTGTCTAATCTACTAAACTTCTATTCTTCCCCTTTTCCTCTTATTGTAGGTTAGCTTCCACATATCAGAGAAAATATTCAACCTTTGGCTTTTTGGGGACTGGATTATTTCACTTAGCATATAGTCTCCAGAACCATCTGTTTACTGGCAAATGCCATAAAGGCATTGAAGATAGGTTTCTATGTATAAAATGGAGATAATTCCTACCTCACAAGATTGCTGTATTAAATGGGATAACATAAAGTTTTGGTATTTGATCAATAAACTCAATAATGATAGTTCTTTTGCAATCACCCCCTTCTATGCTGATTTCAAAAGCCTGTTTTCAACCTAAGAAGATAATTTTATTAGCTCTTTCTTCTGATTTTCACTACTATTTGATAGTTGAACCTTTCTGGAATTCCAAAAGCTTACGTTTCTTATAAGCTTATTATATTATACAGATCATCTTCTCACTATAGTCTACCCTTTCCAACACACACACACACACGCACACACACCAACCACCAAAGTACTTACCTCTTAACATCTCAGATATTTCCAAAGTATAGTATAGATCCTCAGCAAGCTCAGTTCTTCTTCAGTGGCCTGTAGTCCACATCTATAGCTCTTACTTGTGTGGTTTATCCATTTCAACATGGCTTTTATCCACTCTTGCTGAGGCACAGATATCAAAAACAGCCCATATCCTTGGGAAAAGGAAATCCCAATAGAGTCGCATGAGTAGAAGGCAAGAGTTATAGGACTCTTTCAATATTGAATGCACACTGATATGAAGAATATCCCAGACTTAAGAAAACTTATCTTGTAACTGTAGATAAGACATTCTAAAATAATAATAGCAAAATGATATTTATATAGATCATAAACAAAGCAAATTTAAAAAGAAAAAAGATGAAATGGTTATAAATAATGTGCAAATTCGGCAGAGTGTTTTTAGGTAGACCCTATGCTGAATTTGCACATTATTTATAACCATTTCTTCTTATTAACTTTTCATGAAAAAATAAGACCATAAAATCTTAAAAGATTACATTTAGAAGAAACTTCAATTTTTAACCACTTGAAAAGTATCAGATTTCTACTCTAAGAGAACTTTTCTATACATAAGTTCATTGATGATCCAATAAAATTAATATGTGCAATTTACACAGTTGATACTAATATACACACACATTAAAAACACTTGGATAAATAAAGCCTTGAACCTTTTTACACATGGTTTTCTACCTCTTCAAAATAAATGAATAAACCATTTTTAATTAAAATACTGTAGTTTGCCATATAATCCTCACCACCATATTAATGTATATTCATGAATAGTCTGTGCATTCTGATATTGCACGAAACATTTTAGAGATAAGTGATTTTTAAGTAATACCAGCAAATTGTTTTTAAAAGGTTCACATAATAGTCATAACCTGCTATTTTTGCAAAAATTTTGGCAGAGAATTTGTGACAATTATGTGGTGAAATACAGTATAAATCTTTCAATGAATCACCAGTTGATGCTTTATAATTTAAGTGTTTCAAACCATGCTTACCATGTGGAAGTGCAAAGTGTGGCCTACCAAAGGTTTTAAATAGTCTTATCATTCTTCCTATTCCCTATCTTTGGAATTTTCCCCATTTCTTGAATACTACTTTAGTAGTATATAGTGATTATATCTTCCAAACTCTCAATCAATTCCTAAAATCTAATAAATGATGGCAGATGTAATTCAGGAAATATAACTTGTATGCTAAAAAACTTGAAATTTCTGGGACATTCTGGTGGTTTAGAAGGATAATGAGAGAGAATATTTGTAATTAATCGTGTTTGGATAAACTTGGTTACTGTGTGAATATAGGACATCTGAGTCTTTGATACTGGAAAAGTCTATTATGATGGAGGAAGCCCCTCAGGGTTATTTCTCAAGGTGTATTCATTTGGTTTTCCAACATGTATTGAAGGTCTACTATAAGCCACGTTGGGATTTAGAATCTGCACATAATACAACTGAAGAGGAATAGACATTTTGTTTATCTTTAGTGCACTTTCTGCCCCTTCTCCATTCTCTCACCTCCCTTACTGTAATGGTTTCCATGGCAAGAGCCTGGGCCAGCCTCTGTCACCTTAGAACATAGGGGCTCCTGAACTGGGAATGGAGCAGAGGAGTGGACATCAGTCTCACACCACTGGATAGGACTTTACATCAGGCATGCATCTGCATGTTCTGTGCAATATCTGCAGAATGAGAAATGAAGAGGCTGCTGGAGCCTATAGCAACTCAGAATAAAATCCTGAATTCTAAGCACCAGTGACAAAAGCAGTTTACACTCTTGCCATTCATTGATTTAGTATATATTGAGATGTTTATGCATTAAATGTAGACACATAGTTGTATGGACTTATGTTTATTCACTAAGCCATTTCCTGTTTCAAATATTCTATCTAGGTCTGGAAAAATAAAACCATAAAATAAACAAGTAAACGTCCTTCTCTCAAGACAGAATAAATTGACAATAGTATTTAGCCTGAAATCACTAGAGAATAAATTCTCCAGTTCATTTAGATATAAGTGAATTTCAAACAAATGACATGAAGCTTTATGTAAATGTACTTATGACACTCTATTGATGTGAAACATATTCAAGCATAAGCAGCTGTTTGGAGTTGATACTGTATATATCTGTATGCATTAATATAGATATATATTCCTATATAATCTTAGAAAGGATTACTTCCCAATCTGGCATCATTACTCTGGGGAAATTGATTATCATCAGGCATTAGAATCTGAGCTGGACATAACAGAAAAAAAAAACCATGCTGTTAGTTACTTGTAGTTCTTAGTTCTCATATCTATGATGATGAAAGGGTTGAACTTGTCAACTTACATCTGCTCCAGAGAGGTCCCCTTCACATTCTACTGTTTTAGTAATTAGTGTAAGATTACACTGTATGGAGCCAAATAAAGGATTGCAATTTACCTCTAGAAAGTCACTAAGAAAAAGGTTCTAGTACCTTTCATTCTGTTATACCGAGCTTCTTGAGGACAGAGTGAGACTTATTCATCCCTATGTCCCATTTTTTAAGCCTCACATACAGTAGATGCTTGATAAATATCTGCTAATTAGCTAATAAGATCCTCAGGGAAGGAAGCATTTTCCTGACCTTCCAAGTTTTTCTTTTGTTACTCATCACTGAATAGCAGCTATTTCTGTGAGTTGACACTTATATTTATGGGCAAGCAGGACAGGCAGCAATGTTTTGAGGGAGCAGATAGTGAGCCACATAATGGTACAAATGTGGATATGTATCCTAGAGGAGCCATTACTCATATACCAGGAAATGTGTGATAAAAAATGAAGGAAATAGGTGGTCATTATCTCTCCTTACATGTATCACGTGTGAGACCATGATCCTTAAATTAAGCAGTAATATATTGAAACTTGTTATCTAGGTTACTTCTTTGTGGAGGGGTAATAAGAAGCAGAATTAGTGAATATTAACCATATGCTATGGTTTGCATGTAATTTGCATATAATTCTCCTACAAAGGTTCCCAGAGAGGAAGTTGTTGCCAGCACCTATATATTGGAGTGTTGGTTTCTTCTATCAGTTGCAAAGTTTCTGGTCTAATTCCTATCTCTTTGGTCCACTTTGTGTGGACTTTGTGCAGAATGACAACAATTTATTTTCATCCATCCATGTATATTCAGTTTTTCCAGTATCATTTGTTTAAAAGGCTGTCTTTTCTCCAATGTATGTTTCTGGCATCTTTATCAAGGACAAGATAACTATATCTGAATGGATTTGCTTCTTTGTTTTCTATTCTATTCTATTGATCCTCAAGCCAGTATTTATGCCAATACCATGTTTTTTTTTATTACTAAAGTTCTGGAGTATAACTTGAAGTTGTGTATTGTGATGCCTCCAGCCTTGTTCTTATTGCTCAGAATTGCTTTGGCTATTTGGGGTCTTTTATTCCTCCTTGAGTTTTTTCCTAAAACTGCTATTTTTTTCCTAAAAAGCTGCTTTTCCTAGCTCTGTGGGGAATTTCATTGGTCTTTTCGATGGGGATTGCATTCAGTCTATAGATTGCTTTTGGCAATAAAGCCATTGTAAAAATGTTCTTTGATAGGCAAAAATTGATATTGTCAAATTATACATTTAAAGGTATACATTTTTATAAGTTACAGTATATTCACAGTTTTGAAAACATTACTTTTAATTCCAAAAGGATATTTTTTCATCCCCAAAAGAAATCTGTACCCACTGGATGCCACTTCCTCTATTACTGAGTTTTGATTATTAATTATATTCCAAATAGAAATACCTTATCAGATATGTGCCTTTAAAACATTTCACCCCTTTCTGTGGCTTGTCTTTTCATTCTCTTGGCAATGTCTTTTGAAGAGCAAAAGTTCTTACTTTTTTTCTTCCAGGGCTGGTGATTGAACCCTGGGCTTCACACATGTGAGGTAAACATTTTACCTCTGATCCCCATTCCCCAGAAGTCCTTAATTTTGATGATTTTCAACTTATATATAATTTTTCTTTTACCATTAGCCCTATCTTTCCTTTTATTCAGGCAGGAAACAATGGTTTTCAAATTCTTCTGGACAATTACCCCCCTCCAACTTTAACTTTTCAGGAAAACTGCATCATTTTTCACTAATTTTAAAGTAGGTTCTGATCAGTCCTATATGTTATTTGATCCAGTGTTTTACAATTAGTGTATGCATGGGGATTACCAAGAATATAAATCCATTTTATTTCATTTGTTATGACCAATTTACTTGTCCCAAGTCCTAATAACTAGATTATGTCCAGACCCATATGATAAGGAGAGGCAAGCACTTTAGAGATTGTAGAATGAAATGAAATAATTCCTGAAGGTCAACAACAGTTTATAAATTATCCTTTTTTAATGCTGGGATTCAAACCTGGGCCTCTGTGGGCTAAGCATGAATTCCTCCACTGAGGTATATCCCTAGCCCTATAAATCATCTTGAACTTAATTTACTCAGCAGAATATAGGCTAGGAAAAAATGAGTAATTTCCTAACTCTACAGAATGTGTCACTGGACTTAATTTTCACTGGCACAAAATATACTGGAAAAGAACAGAAAGCAACTTTAACTCAAATCGTGTTCAAATGATTAGAGCCCCAGCTCATCAAAATGAAACATCAACTCAATTTTCAGTTGCCTGAGAATTGCTTACAAAGTCCTTCAGTTTAACCATACAGGATTTGGTCTTTTGTTTTAAACTAACTAGCATGCACAATCATAAAATCTTGTGTGACTATGAAGACCATATTTCATAGTGAGGTTTGTTGATTTAGAAAATGGATACATTTAAGACCAAATTGGTTTTTGAAATAATATGAGAACTTGCCTCATATGTTAATCCAGGTGTAACATTTTATTAGCTAGCATTCTATTTCAGGATGACAGGGAACCCTATATGGAAAAAAAAAACAGACTCTATACCTAGTCACTCTGTAATAGTATTCCTACATTTGCTTTAAGAAAATAACTAATAAACTTGCCAATAAATATACTTTATTTCACATTTATCATGTAATCTTTCACAATTTTATATACTTATAAATATCAAGAAAAATTATTAACATGTGAATTCTGCTTCAATTGCTGTGCTAAGAAAGTAGTTACTATTTTATATTAAGACTGATGACACA